AGGAAGACGCACACCAGCTTGAGTCATTGCGAGGGGATCAGGTATCAGGCATCAAAGAACAAAAAATCAAATCATTGTGAATGAAGGCGAGTGCAGATTGGGGACCCAAGACCCATTTTTAGGCAACGGGACATCCCCTTACGGAAGGGTTGCAGGGAGGAGACGAGCGAGTCAGTCAGGGTACAGTGTAGCAGTGATGAAACATACAACTTTCCTCTAGTTCCTAAATGCTTCCTCCCCCACCCCCAACTATCATGATCCCAATTCTAGCTTCAAGTCTGGCTAGACCAGAGGATGTACACTGGTACAGATAGGAACTGAAAACACAGGGAATCCAAGACAGGTGATCCCTTCAGGGTCAGTGCTGAGAGTGGCGATACTGGGAGGGTGGAGGGAAGGTGGGGTGGAAAAGGGGAACCAATTACAAGGATCTGTATATAACCTCTGCCTTGTGGGATGGACAACAGAAAAGTGAGTGAAGGGAGACGTTGGACCGTGTAATCAAGATATGATAAAATAATAATTTGTAAGTTATCAAGGGTTCATGAAGGAGGGGGAAAATGAGCTGATACCAAGGGCTCAAGTAGAAAGAAAATGTTTTGAGAATGATGATGGCAACAAATGTGCTTGACACGATATATGTATGGATTATGATGAGTTGTACAACTCCCCAATAAAATGATTAAGGAAAAAAATTGTTTTCGTTGCTATTGCATAACTGTCATTTGGATACTGTTATAAATCTGGCAATCCCAGTGAAAAGGTTGTTTGACTCCCAAAGGGGTCGCGATCCACAGGTTGAGAACCGCTGCTCTAAAGTGACTTTAAACCAGCATTTTGTGGTAGTATCATAAGTGGTTGTGTGTTGCCTTGGACCTGGGCCTGGTACAGTACCAGCACCTGCATCACCATTGGTCAATGGGTGTCTTTATCTATCTTGAGTACTATTGTTAAACATGTGGGTGGAATTCATGTACAGAGTTAGGATAAATGATCATTTCTTCAGCTTTTCCTTTTTTAAAAAAATGGTTTCTGAATTCCATTGTAGCGTTAAATGCTAAGGATGGCTCTCAGCAGCCTGTGTTTTTTTTTACTGGGCACACGTGACTCAACAATGTTGTTACAGGACGAACTCACAGATCGAACCAGGTTACTGCTCCCGAATATGTCTTTCTGATTTCTGAGTTGGCAGGGGAACAAAGATTTGCATCTATTGTTGCTAAAAGACTTGAGAGTTTGGTAAGTTTGTCGGTAATGTCAGTTCTAGTTCTCTGCTGAAGGTGCCAACTGGGCTTTCATTGGGAGTTTCATGTTTTGACAGGGGGCGCTCACGCATGGCGATCGAAGAGCGACGGAATCTAGAGATTTGAGCCGGTTCAACTTTGACAACAAGGTACATTTCAACTTTCCATTTGGAGAAAACATGAGTGTTTGGAGTCTACAATAAGGTTTTGTCCTTGTTAGGATGAAACAAATAGGGAAGGTGGTTAATAACTGAAAAGAAAAGTTGTCTTCCCTTTGCTTTAACATCCTGTAAATCCTGTCAGGGAGGAAGGAGTCATGGTGGCCCTTGGGGCAGTGGGGCCAGAGTTTTATTTCCATGGCCCTTAGAGCTAGGATAATAACCGAGGCCTGCAGTTGGGAATCTTAGGTAAAGCTGCCTTTTTTAAAAAAAACCAAAAAACATTGTGCATTTGATTGAAGAGTATCCAAATGCTAAAACTGGTTCAAAAGATTTTTTTTGTATTTATTGCAGTATGGAAGAAACGCTTTAGAAATCGTCATGAAATCAATTGTCAACCTGGACACTCCTCTGGTATCCCCGCCTCCAGAGTACCCGGGGGAGTTCTTCAAAGGTGACTTGTACAGGGAAATGGTTACTGGCCAGTAGGCACCAAACAAAACCTGCTCTAACATAGGCTGGGTTTTATATTTTTAAACACTTTGATCTTGCTCAGAGTGTTCATGTCAGTGCCACAGTCCCTCCAGGCATGATTCAGCGACCTCGAGGGCATTCTTGGAGTTGTGCAGCTGTTCTTTCCCTCCTTTGTTGAGTTGTTCCTCCTCCATTAACCTCAGATTCTTGTCCAATCTTTCGGGTGCCTGTTCTCAGCTTGATCCCATAGAGACAGGCATGAAAGAAGCAAGGATCTCCCTTTCTTTTAATATTAAGCTGAATGTTTAATTTTCAAAAGCATTCAGGCGGTATTTTTTTGGTTTAAGGCTTACAGATCGTCTCAGGGTAATTGTTTTGGGGTATATGCTGTTTTTTAGGTTTTTGCTTCCTATGGATATAATTTGTAAATTTTAAGTCACATATTATTTAGAAAGTAAAGATTGCTTTTTATATTAAAGCTTATTAATACCACAAACTTCACTCAAATGAAGTACTTTTGTTCTTGATAAAGCATGTTATCCAATCTGAGAGTTAGAAAGCATTCATTAAAGTCTGTTTGTCCGGTAACCTCTAACAGTTTTAAAATAGAAGGAACAAGTAGTTAGTGGGGGCTAATGGACATTGTAGAGGAAATGAAAATTGACCTTGTATTAATAGTAGTTAGAACGGATGGGTGAGTATGAGTGGCTCACTCAAATAGTCTTCGATTTACTTAATTTTGTTCATATGTATATGGATATTTCCATTGTTTGAAAGAAATCTTTCAAGTTGTAAGATACTTAAATGTCCTCATGTTTAGCTGCCAAATTTTGCTAGAAATTTCTTTTCCCTACAGTTGGAACTAGTTTTTAATGTTGCTGACAGTCCGTATACATATGTGGAGACTTCGTTGATACAAGTCAGGGCAGCTCAGGATTGCTGGTAGCATCTAAACAAACACACCACCTTGGCCTTTATGTTAGAAAGGGTTCTTTAGAGAAACAAAACCAGAACGCTAATAATTATATAAATATAGATAGATAGATTACATAAGAAATACACAGTTAATTAATCCGTGAAGAAGTACAAATGGCTCAGTGCAGCTCACTCCCATGAGACATCTGTGAGACACTGGCAGTCCTTCAATTCTTGAGGGCTGCTCTTTAGAGCAATTCAGGGTATCCGGGCACAGCAGCAAACAGCAAGGCAGGTCACCAACAGTCAGCCAGAATTCAGGGTCTGACAGTCCACAGCTCAAGAGATGTAAATTCCAATAGCGTGATGAAGCAGGTCTTGAAGGAACCTCAAATTACAGCCACACAGTCCACGGGTTAGGTGTCCCACAGGTATTGTAACTTGCAAATTGAGACACAGAACAAGCAAGTCAGCCGCACACTGGTCCGTGATCGAAGAGCAAGAGACAAGAAAGGCGAGGCTCGCTGAGCCATTTATCTCTCCCCCCTTCAGTTAATCCCACATGTGTTCATTGGCCATGTTGGCACAATAAACCTACTTATCACAGCCTCGTTTTCTGTCACCAGGTTCTTTAAAGTGGTAGCCTAGATACTAGTGTTTTTTGAACCATCCCCCACGCTATCTTTGCCTTACTTTGTTGGTCATGATATGTAACACTGGGGATGGATCTATGCTTATGTTCTTATTTGCACAGGTATTTAACTAGTTAGCTTTCTGCTACATGGTCAAAATTGTTTTAGATGTAATGAGTTGAGTAGTGCACTACTCAGCTGTTAACCCAGAGGTTGCTTGTTTGAACCCACCAGCCACTCTGAGGGAGAAAGGAGAGGCAGTTGGCTTCTGTGAAGTTTCACAGACCTGGAAGCTCCCTGGGGCATTTCTACTAGGCTTGTTGGGAGTCACCTACTCAATGACAGATAGCTGGGACACCTAGGAGTGGAGGCTGGCTGGGACAAGCAGTTAACATGCTTGACCACTAGCTGAAAGTTTGGAGTTTGCAAGTCTACCCAGAGGCCCTTCAGAAGAAGACTGGTCAGCTACTTTTAAAAACTCACTCTGGATATGACAAAATACCCATTTATAAACTATCAAGGGCTGATGAGGAAGCGGGGAGGGAGGGGAAAAATGAGGACCTGATGTAGGGGGTTTAAGTGGAGAGAAATGTTTTGACAAACGATGTGCAGATGCGCTTTACACAATTGATGTATGTATGGATTGGGATAACAGTTGTGTGAGCCCCTAATGTTAAAAAAAGAAACAAAACTCTGTGGCAGGATGTACACTGGTACAGATAGGAACTGAAAATCCAGGGAATCCAGGGCGGATGAGTCCTACAAGACCAGTGGTGTGAGTGGCGAAACAGGGAGGGTAAAGGGAGAATGGGTAGGAAAGAGGGAACCGATTACAAGGAACTATATGTGACCTCCTCCCTGGGGGACAGACAACTGAAAAGTGGGTGAAGGGAGACGTCGGACAGGGCAAGATATGACAAAATACCAATTTATAAACTATCAAGGGGTCATGAGGGAGGGGAGAGCGGGGAGGGAGGGGAAAAATGAGGACCTAATGTCGGGGGTTTAAGTGGAGAGAAAATGTTTTGAGAATGATGTACAAATGCGCTCTACACAATTGATGTGTGTATGGATTGGGATAACAGTTGTATGAGCCCCTAATAAAATCTTTAAAAAACAAAACAAAAAACTCACTCTGTGGCACAGTTAAAGACATTCAGAATCAACCCAGTGGTGGTGAATTTGTTTTCATTTTAAAGACCCTGGGAACTTTATTCCACTCCTTTAAGCTAATAGAAACCGGCCTATTTGATCTGGTGGAATGGGCCTACTGAGTGACAGGATTCTGATGAGCATGTTTCCTTATAGATGTTCGACAAGGACTGATTGGCGTTGGCCTCATCAATGTAGAAGATCGTTCAGGAATTCTAACGCTCGATAAAGGTAACACTTCATTTGTGTGTGCACAAAGCTGTTGCTCCATGGTTAAAAGCTGTTTGTTTTTAATGTTTTTGGCAACTAGGTAGAGAATCTTGAAGTTAGTACTGTTTACTAATTATAAAATTTCTTATTTTGGTTTGATTGAGAGTTTTCAGAGCAAATTGGTTTCCTGTTCAACAATTAATAAGTGTTTTGATTTGTGACATTGGTTGCAATCCTCACAATGTAATAGCGCTTTTCTCACTTTTCTGTTTCCCATGTACCTTTGACCTTTCCTTTCCATCCAGCCATCTGGGCAAGGTTTGATGCCTTTTGATCTCTTGTTCTAGAGAACTTTTTTTTTTTTTGCTCTTTTATTTTATTTTATTTTGAACTTTTTTTTTTAAACAGATCTTTTTCCCCCAGAAAGTGTAAGCATTCCCATTCTCTGCACCCTGCTTTTATTATTATCTGCCCTGCTGTGGGACATTAGTCACAGCTTATGGACCAATATGACACATGCTTATTAAATTGTCTCCCATTTATATGGAGGCCCACTCTTGGTGTTGGCCAGTTTTGTGGGATTTGACCGGTGCATCCCGTTCTCTTCTGTGACCTGCAGAACTATTCAGTGACCTTCAAATGCCGTGGGCTTCACCCCTTCATCCTCATCCCTCCTCTGCCTCTTAGTCCCGTTCCCCCCTTTCACTGTCAACCACTGATGAAACACTCCTACTTTTTCCTCTTCTAGAATATTCCTTAGTTAGAATCGGTCACTCTAACTTTTTCAGTGACTTCTTTCTCTTGGTAACGTGCCCTGAAGATTGTACCAATGTCTTTCCATGGCTTACTTGGTTTCTATCACTCCATTGTGTAGATATAACACAATTGGTTTATTACTCACTTATTGAAGGATAGCTTGCTTGCTTGCTTGTAAGTTTTGGCAGTTATGGCGAAGCTGCTATGAACAACACTCAGTGGTTTTCTGAGGGGCATATGGTTGGGTTTTTTGTTGTTGCCATTTTTAACTTAATTAAACTTCCACGTAGCTTCAAGCCACCAGGACACAACCTACCCCCCCCACCCCAACACCCTTAATCTTCTCAGCTCTTCTGCTGAAGAATTTGGCCTTCATGATGACAGGTTGCTTTGGAAGTTTACCCTTCGCCAGAACTTTGTCGTAGCCCAACCGAACCACGTCAATGATGGGTGCAGCTCCAGTCTTATTTTTGGCAGCATTGACCCTGGTCTGCTCACTGACAAAGGTCCACAATTTATCAAGGTTCACAGTTGGGCCGAAGTTCTGTTTCTTCTTTAAGTGGTAATGCAGCATACCGACTTTTCCAAAGTCACCTGGATGGTATTTGTCGAAGTTGATCCTGTGACAATGCAAGCCACCAACCAGCATTACCCCGGCCTCCTGGGTGCTTCTGATGCTTCCCGATGCAGGCCGTGGCCGTGGTTCACGTGGAGTTTCCGGGTCTTCCTCAGTCTGGAGGGCATGTCGGCAGCCGAAACGAAAGAGGGGGGCATATGGTTTTTGTAGGTTCTACGTTCCCATGATATTTGAGCTTGTCATCCAATTTTTAGGTTTAAAAAAAATCAGCTGACCCCACTCCCTCTAGGAAATTAAACACTTTCACATGATAGCTAGCCCATCTAGGATAGATTGTAGATGACTGCTTTTGCAGCCCCTTGGATCATTTCAGAACCTGGCGTGGCGTGGGGTGGGGTGGGGTGGGGTGGGGGCAGAGTCAGTATCACCCATCTTGGGAAACCCTGCTAGAAGTCAAGGAATGGTGGTAACATGCACATAACAACATTTGCCGTCTTAAGCTTTTTTTCTCTCATGTTAATTACATTCCTAATGTTGTGCAGACATGACTTGCTTTTCAAAACCATTTCATCATTCCCAACAGATATCGTGTGCCCATTGCACAAAAACTCCATTTCCCTTCCTTAGTGTATGGATTTGCCGTTTGTGGATTGTTCACTGAATGGAATCATAAGAGTGTTTGTCCGTATATGTTTGAGTTAACCATTATGCTTTCAAAGTTCGTTCATGTTAGTGTGTGATAGAATTTCTTTTCTCTTTTTAGCACTTTTATGTTCATACGTTCAGAAATGAAGTTGAGGCTGTAAAAATCAATGCCACAAGTATCTGTTAAACATGTATTCTGGCTATGATGCTGGATAGAGCTAGAAGTGGTTAAATTACAGCCCTACTCCAGGCACGGGACATCCCAAAAGTTGTCAGGGAAGAATTAAAGGAAGAGGAAGTGGGACTTGAAGTAGGCCTAGTTGAATAAAACATTTTAATTACCATCGGAATGTACTAAATGTTCACGTACTCTTTATTGCAGATTATAACAACATAGGGAAGTTCTTAAATAGAATTTTAGGTATGGAGGTCCATCAACAAAATGCCTTGTTTCAGTATTTTGCGGACACACTGACTGCAGTTGTTCAAAATGCCAAAAAGAATGGAAGATATGATATGGGAATCTTAGGTAAGTGGAACTTTTTTTGGGGGGCACTAATTTCATACACATTTATCTGAAGTGACACCACTCATTCAGCTTGCTTTCCTTATTTTTAAGCAGGTTTTTTTTTTTGCATACTTTACTTATCAAACAGTTCATTCAGTCATATTCAGAAGATTTATGCAATCACCACTACAATCAGGAATTTTTTTTTTTTTTAACATTTTATTAGGGGCTCATACAACTGTTATCCCAATCCATACACACATCAATTGTGTAAAGCGCATTTGTACATCGTTTCTCAAAACATTTTCTCTCCATTTAAACCCCCGACATTGGGTCCTAATTTTTCCCCTCCCTCCCTGCTCCCCACTCCCGCATGAACCCTTGATAGTTTATAAATGGGTATTTTGTCATATCTTGCCCTGTCCGACGTCTCCCTTCATCCACTTTTCGGTTGTCTGTCCCCCAGGGAGGAGGTCACACACAGTTCCATGTAATCGGTTCCCTCTTTCCTACCCATTCTCCCTTTACCCTCCCTGTTTTGCCACTCACACCACTGGTCCTATAGGGCTCATCCGTCCTGGATTCCCTGTATTTTCAGTTCCTATCTATACCAGTGTACATCCTCTGGTCTAGCCAGTCTTGCAAGATCGAATTCGAGTCATGGTAGTGGGAGCGGGGAGGAAACCTTTAGGAACTGCAATCAGGAATTTTTTAAATGGCATGTGTGTGCCTAATTTTGTGTGTGTGTGATCTTTTTGTCTTTACACTGCTTTTTCTTGTTCAAGACCTTGGTTCTGGAGATGAAAAAGTGAGGAAAAGTGATGCCAAGAAGTTTCTGACTCCGGGGTATTCAACCTCAGGCCACGTGGAGCTGTTTACTGTGAGTTTGGAAAGCGGGACTGTGCAAGTTAACTGTCAGTGTGTGACCGATCGCTCACCTTAAACTCTTTCTCTTACAGATTAGTGTCGAGAGGGGCATGTCCTGGGAGGAAGCCACCAAGATTTGGGCTGAGCTAACAGGACCAGATGATGGCTTTTACTTGTCATTGCAAGTACGATTTATTTTATTATTATTTTTAATCATTTTATTGGGGGCTCGTACAACTCTTATCACAATCCATACATCACTTGAATCAGGTATGTTTGTGCATATGTTGTCCTCATTCTTTTCTAGACATTTACTTTCTATTGAGTCCTTGGTATCAGCTCTTCCACCCACCTACCCAACCCCACACACACACACACCTTTTTCTTTATTTTTTTAAACCAATTTTTAAATTGCCTGTTAAGTGGTGGGTTTACATTTCAAATCTTCAGTTTTGTATTCAGTAGATTTTTAGATTTTTCTTTCACCCAAGTTCGTATCTGTCTGCTCTTTAACGTATTGCTAAGGACTTGCTCCTGTTCAACTTGGGAGTTTTCACATGTGTGCCTTCCTTCCTCGCTTGGTTAATCTATTACTTATTGTGTGTTCATTGGTAGCCATTTTTACTTGGCGTGTTGTGAGATTTTTAACACTAGTCCTCATTTTGAACTTCCCCTGAGTTGGCTCTATGTGGCCTTGATCGCCCTTTGTTTGTCCCTAGGGCGGGGTGGAGTTGACCGGGAGGAGCCCCATCCCAGCAAGTCACAGCCATTTCTCTTGGAACAAATATGGGATGACTGTCAGTTGCTCTAAGTTCCACTTTCATTAGCTAACATGACTCCGGGGACACACAGTCCCTCTGCTGTTACAGGCTGCAAATACTATGCTTACCAAGTTTTTCCCTTTTACTGTTAACCATGTAAAGTAGCAGTTCTCAACCTGTGGGTCACCACCCCTTTGGGGGCCGCCCACTTTATAACAGTAGCAGAATTACAGTTATAAAGTAGCAAGAAAATAATTTTATGGTTGGGGATCGCCACAACATGAACTATTAAAGGGTCGTGGCGTTAGGAAGGTTGAGAACCACTGATGTAAAGTGTAATATTCTGCATTATTGTGTTAGGTGCCCAGGGGTCTCATAAACTTTGTGTCACTATTACTTGACACAAGTAATAAAGGCTCTTTAATGTCCTTGAAGAGCAAATAAAAAATTCTATCCTTTTATTTTAAATCATTGTAAAAAACAGTATCTGAATTCAGACAGCGTGGCCCCACTGAACAATGATTTATTATGTGTGCCAGTTGGGGAAGGATCTTTGCCTTGAGACTTTTCTTTTCCTTCAGTTTTGCTCTAGGTTTTTGCTTGGAACCTGTTCACCGGACTTGAAAAGAAAAACTAATTTTCTACTCTTGTTTTTCCTTGTGGAGCTTTTTTGTAACTCCTTATTTTTTTCTCCTAGGCCCATATTGAAATAAATCCTATACCTAAGTTATCTCATTTCTTTGTTGAGGTGGGTCTTCCATGTCTGTAAACTGACTCACCTCCATTTAGCATCTTGGCATTCTGGCCACGGTTATCCTGCTCGCCCTGGGTGCCTCACACCCCGACGGCCGCCCTGTCAGCCAGGTGACCCTCTGACTGGAGCACCCTGCGTGACTAGGGTTATGATGATGCAAAATTCACTGCACCTCACCCAGGAATAACATGCTCCCGACTCCATCGTTTAGTTGCAAGTACTTTAAACCATCCAGCAAGAGGGAAAGTTGGTTACCTGAAACATCCATATTTTCCTGCCCTCATTTCATTCCCCTTGAGGATTAAGCAGAGGCGTGGCTAATTGTCCAGGTACATACTTGTGCCTTATATCGAAATCTAGAGTTTTCTCAGGAATATCTTGGTCTTCCTACTGCCTGTCTTTCCTACCTCACCGTTGAGAGGTCAGATTGTTTTTGGTGCTGTGGCCTGGTTAACCTTGTCATACATGTGCTTTTTACCCTTTCTTGCAGATGTTACCATCTGCCAAACAGTATGTATGGTCCATGATGTGTGTGGTATCTAATCTTCATATTTCTCCTTTTAATGTAGATAAGGAACAATAAGAAAACGGCCATCTTAGTTAAAGAAGTAAACCCTAAAAAGAAGCTTTTCTTAGTCTATAGACCAAATACTGGGAAACAACTCAAATTAGAAATTTGCTCTGATCTCAAGAAGAAATATAAGAAGGTACTTTCTTGTGTTTATGTTGTCCTGTATGTAAGGACTTATTTAATAGTAGAATATTGATGATGATTTATCTGTGAAGGAAAACCTTTTTCATAAAAGTCAGGTTTTCTTACGTTAATATTTAAGTCTTAATGTGACCAGCATTAGGAAATTGTAAGATCATACTTACTGCCTTCAAGTTAATGCTGACTTGACCCATAGTGACCACCTGTGAGTTTCTGAGACTGCAACTATGGACAGTATTAGAAAGCCAGTCTTTCTCCCTGAGACCTGCTGTTGGTTTTGAAATGCCAACCATTCCGATTGCAACCCAACCTATAAGCCCTACACCAACAAGGCTCGTGAAACCCTGGAAGTGATCTTAAAACGATGCTTTCCATGTTAACTGCAGAAATGACTGGACTTTTCCAACTAAAGGGATGATGTACCAAACCAAAATTGTGTCCGTGTCACTCTACCATGGTGTGCAGTTCCGGGTATTTTGCTTTCAGCCAGGACCGACACTCACTTTGTCAGTACTGGGACAGTTTTAATTGGCTGCCTCTGGAGGTGTTTCTCTCTTTTAGATTGGCAGTTTACATACAGCAATTACATCACAATGAATTTCTTTTTTCCCCACAATGAAATTTTTGCTGCGCTTCACAGGTGGTGTCTGATGATGCCCTGGTGCACTGGTTGGACCAGTATAACTCCTCAGCAGATACTTGTACCCATGCGTATTGGTGAGTTATCTTCCTGTTTCTCATGTATTTTCCAACACAGATTTAAGGAAACCATCCAAACATGCCCTTAGAAGTTAAATGTTCAGAGTATCTTGGGAGGATGTGGTTCAGTCTACAAGAAACTACTGGATCACTATGCACTGCCCACGCAGCCCTCTGCCCATCACCGAGCCATCGTCCAGAATCATTCAATACCTGTACCTGGAGTGTTAAAAACTGGCTTTTCCCTTCCTTCTCTACATGTCCCTCCCCCCTCCTTTCTGTTATTTACAGCATTACTACCACGGTTTTATTTTATTCTGAAAGCGAACTTGAAAGGTACTACAGAGGTACAGGAAGTAGCTAAATCTCTTGGACTGGATCACCCTGTAGAGGTTCTGGAGCAGCCAGCTGTGGTTGGCCTTTCAAGTCCTGAGCTGTCCTTGTGAGGTTCATTTCCGAACCTGCCAGAGAACAGTTACAGCTCTGAGTTTGCTGTTGCGTGTTTTCTCACCCACTAAAGGCGTAATGTTCTTGGGTGTCTGGCCCATTTTTGGGAAAAGGTTATGGGATATAAAAGTTTTTATTCTCCTTAGGCAGGGAGAGAGAGAGAGACACCCCATAGAGAGAAAGAGAGAGAGAGAGTGTGTGTGTGTGTCCCCAAGTCTCTGAGTGTCCCCATCCACCAAGCCGTCTGTTTGTGTGTTCATGCACACGCATATATATGCCCCACCTTCTTATCTCTTGCAGGCGAGGTAATTGCAAAAAGGCCAGCCTGGGATTAGTGTGTGAAATAGGGCTTCGTTGCCGCACGTACTATGTGCTCTGTGGGTCGGTCCTGAGTGTGTGGACAAAAGTGGAAGGTGTTCTGGCATCAGTCAGTGGCACAAATGTGAAAATGCAGATTGTTCGCCTGAGGACAGAGGATGGGCAGCGGATTGTAGGTGAGTCTCTTGTGTTATAGTTTGATGGGGGTGGGGTGGTGGTGATCAGACCCTGCTGCTTTCTTGATTTGCTTCAGCTGTTGTATAGTCCGAGCATTTATTCTGGCCAAAGGCCTGAGCTTGGAGATGGACTAGATTACCCCGTGGGTTCTGCCTGAAGGGGCGCTGTGCTGACGTCTGCCCTGCAGTTTGCTCACTGCTACCACCTCTGTAGGCTTCTGGGAGCAGAGACTGAGCCCAGCCGCCCACCCAGAGTGCTCCCAGCACTGTTGCTGTGCTGCCTTAGAGCCAGACTAAAGCTGTGCTCCACAGTGGGTGACTGCAGCCACTTAAGGGCTAAGGGTGGGCCTGGGACTGCACTTGGCCTAGTTGCTGCTGTTTCTTTTGCAACAACTTTCTCCACCACTCTAATTAAAGGTTAATGGCCATCTAGGAACAATGTGCTTGGCCCCAAAGATTTCTGGTAGTTGCCTGTTGTCATTTAAATGAGTTGCGAGTTTTTCAGAGATGAGGTTTCATACAGAAGTCTGGATTGCCAACTGTAAAGAAACAGCTGATCTAGCATTTATTAACAAGGACAACGAAGTCCCTGGAGCGTCATGTAGTGGTCACACCCCTTTGAGGGGCTGCAAAGATGGCTGCTCTTATAGAAGTAGGAAAGTGCTGTGCTCACCTTTCTAGCTCTTCCATCAAGAAAGTGGGATGGCCCATGTCCCCATCTGGAAGCTTGCTAGGTCCTTTTTTAGTAGCATGGCTGAAGACCCAGAAGGCTTCTGAGGAGGCCGTCTTGGTAATTCTGCATCCCTCTTCCCTTCCCCTTTTGTGGAGCTCTTGTTTGCTCTGTTAACTGTCCTGCCTGGTGCAGGTCTGCGGTGTGCTGTATCCTAAGTGAAATCTGACCCATCCTTGTTCCTACAGGTTTGATCATTCCAGCCAACTGTGTGTCTCCGCTCGTAAACCTCCTGTCAACTTCAGACCAGTCTCAGCAGCTTGCGGTCCAGAGGAAACAGCTGTGGCAGCAGCATCACCCGCAGAGCATCGCAAACTTGAGTAACGCTTAACGAGCAGACAGGTTTCAACATGGATCTGTGGGAATGCTGTTGAAGCATATCATTTGCATAAAAATCAGGGACAGTTTCCAAAGAATTATAATTTTCCCCCCAGTTGTGCGAACACACGCACTTTCTGTCTCTCCCTCTCCCATTTGTTAATTTTTAGGGGAATAAGGACAAGCCTGGAATAGATAGCAGAACTGAAAATCAGCCCTGCCGATGGTGTGGTGCACCTGTCTTTCCTCTTCCTTCTTCTGTGGTACTTCCTGTTTGCTTTTACGTTACCTTGGGTGAGCTGAGGGTGTGTGTGTGCGTGAGTGTGTGCTTGTGTGCTTGCTGGTTTGTGTGTTTGTTAAAGGCTACAAACAGCAATTGGTTTAAGATGCTTGGAACTTCCCACACTGACTTTATTTTTTCGTTCTCCAGTGCTCAGGTATAATGCAGTACATCCATGGCCGGATGCATGTTGATAAATAAAGAGACTGTGTATTAGTTCTCTTCCCCCCGTGACCATAGGCAGTAGGTTTGTTATAGCATGAAACGAGAGGTTGCTATCATCCGTTCAGGTTCTTTTCTTGTTTATCTTCTGACACTGCATGTTTGGAAGCATGCGTACACAAAAATTACCAGAAGTCATGTAACAAAGAGACACCAATGTGTAGCTGTACAGCATTGGGTATTGCATTTTAGTGTTTTTGCCTGGGTGTCGCTTCTGCCCTGTGCGCTCCTTTGCCCCAACCCCCATGCCCCCAGTTTCCCAAGGTATTGAGTACATACTTTCTGGTGTGTGTGACAAAAGTCTCAACGGGTCCCTTTTATGAATGTGTTGATAGTATTCCTAATGCGTGCTGCAAAACAAAAAAGGCTGCAAGCCTGTTTTTCTTGAAATTAGAGTTTCCTTAATTTAAAGAGTTTTAGAAAGTAGTACAAATTGGCTTCCATCTTATACACAAGCTGTTTTTCCCCTTCCTTTTTTACTCCGTTCTCTTTTGTTCGTCCTGTCACTCTTGAGTTTTGACCTAGACACCGAGGATACGCTCAAGGCTTCTGTTGTCTTTCTTTTTGTTGTTATTGTTGTTACTCAGTAACTTGAATATTGTTTATTGTGTTGTAAGACATTGTAGAGTTTATCTCAAACTGTTAAAAATGGTAATGTACAAATGTGAACAGACACTTATCTATAATATGGGTAAGGTTGTTTTTTTTCCTATAATAGATGTTTATAAACAAGTTGAGGGGACAGTTGGTCTTTGTGTTTCCTTTATCTTTTTATTATTATTTTATTTTATTTTTTGCTTGCACAGGTTGCACTATTGAAAAAAGAATTGAGATTGTATAATAAACCTGGTCAACACTGCAAGATACCAGAATCTTGTAGATGTCAAATAAAAAGTTGTTATACTAACAAGCAGTGGACTCTTGCTTAGGCCCTCCCGCCTCCAGCAGGAGTCTGCCAGGGCCCCGCAGGACGTGCATGGTGCCTCAGCATCCACGCGGCCTTATATGCTATGCTGGCTTCCCACCGCCCCAAACCAGTGAGGTGGTGCTGACAGAGGCGCCGGTGCTAGCTTCTTGAGTGTGTTTTAAGTTGAATTACTGTTGTTTGGGTTACTCCCAGAGCTGGCTAAAGGGTGTGGGTTCAGTGAGAAGCTCTCAGAACTTGGTGGCGGGCTAGGGCTGTACCCTCAACACACGTGCAGCCTGAATTCTGGATGTGACATTTGCCATCAGTCTTCTTTTAGATGCTTTCTTGAGAATAGTTTCTGTTCTGCACATTTTGCCCAGTGGATGCAACTCCCCTCGATCCCATCTCAGCCTTTGACTGTGTGGATCTCCACCAGCAGCCACGAGTAGAGGTAGCCCTTTCAACTCAGCAAGGCCTTCCTGTTCCTGTCCCTCCTCCTGCTTCTGCTGTCAGTCCCTGCTCACCTGCCGTTCTCATGCTAGGGTGAAACCGAACTGGGTCCCTTTCCCCTCCCTCTCCCAGGTGGCTGGGCAAGTGCATGCTACCCAGCTCAGGGCAGGACCTTCTTAGTAGGTTTGGGAGTTGTGATGTTTTAGCTAAGCAGTTTCAGAGTGAGGGCTCTTGTCTGTGAGTACTTGGCCCCTACATCTGATGGCATGTTAACTCTGGGACTAGCAGTCTTGCTGCAAAGGGATGTTTTCTTGTCACACAGATTGACAATTAACAATAAGGTCCAAAATCTCTTCTCCATTTTGGGGAAGGTGTACCTCACAAAAAAGGCAGTTGGAAAATTAAAAAAAAATTTTTTTTTAAGGCAATCTAGGAATAAATGGGTGGCCAACTAAGCACAGACCCAAGTGCCTGGCTGTCCCCCTCTCCAAGGTCAGCACTTGACCTGTATCCTGTGCCCGTACCCATGATTTGTGTCAGAGTCCGAGAGTTCAGGTCGGCCAAGGTCCGGCTGTCAGAAGCTCCTATTGTAACAACAGCTCCCTTTGTATAGAAGCAGCTTGTGCACTTCAGACCTGGGAGGAGTCTGGCCCACCTCTGATAGGCCTTTTGTCATCCCCTCTTAGCAATACAGCTCTGAGCATGAAGGTGTGATTACATATCACACTGCTGCTCTCAGAGCTTAGTGTCATTGGTACTGAACCTTTTTTGTTCTTTTGTGGAATTTGGTTGTCTGCTCTAACCTAGCACCCTTGGTGCCTCATGGTCTCTGTGTCTGCATTGAGTAGGATTGCCCAGGTGTGCTGTCAGTGAGGAGTGTTCATGGAGTATCTGTAAATTCAGCTTGTCCAGTGAGCAGTCTTCCCTTTTTCCTGCTCAGTTGCAGATAAAGCCTTCAAGCGCCTCTTTACATGTGTGTATATATCAGCAGAACTGCCTGCAAAGCAGTGGAATCGTGTGTTGTGTACATATATTTATTCTGACCCTACTTGTTAGCACTTCCGAGACATTTTTAGCTGTTGCCCTTTTTTGGGTTCATCTTAAAGAGGTAGGTAACTGCTCTCCATTACCCAGATCCAGGGAACCCAATGTTTTTGAGACACAGCGTTCTGGTCTTAGTGAAACGTTCCCCCTGAATCAGTGGGGCAGGGACCCTGCTACTTTCTGGTTGAGCACGAGGGCCAAGGCCATGATCTGGGCTGGTTCAGAGGGTGGGCACTGAGAAGAGGCAGTCACCCTGTGATGGGGCAGAGGGCCTTGTTTTAACAAGAAGCAGAAGCACGTCTAAGCCATTTCAAAGAATGGTGCTGCGTGAGTCTGCTGAGTGGGTCACAGTTAGTGATGCTTGGTCCTCTGTGACACCACTGACCAGACATCTTTTGTTAGCCAGCCCTCTTGAGGCCTGTGTACACGCCACACATTTTGTGGCTGAAATGTTGTGAGCATTCCACGCAACATCTCTCATTGGCTGCCAATTGCCCACAACGACCTCTAGTGTCTGGTCAGGGCCCAGGAGTAACGGAAAGCTCCTATGGAGACGAGCTCACTAGCCAGCTTTGTTTCTTTCTGAGAACGTGAGGTCGAGACCGAAGCCTGCCCTGTCTCGGTTAGGCTGTGCTTGTGAATATGTATATAGGTGTGTGTATATAGAGAAGTGCTGCTTTCTTCTGAAATCCAAATGTAAATACTTGTACATGGAGAACCCTGCCTCCCTGTGCATCCCTCCTTCCCTCCGCCATGCTGATCCTTGTCCTGAGCTCACTGGCCATGCACTCATAGTTGGCTGTGATTCCATTCTGCATCTGGTCACTAGAATGTGTCTGCTCCGTGTTCGTTTTCACCGTGCGTGAGTGGGTTCTGCTTTTTGTTCTTGGTTTTTACTGTGTACCGCGCATTGTTTGGAGGGGTGTTTGAGTGCTCTCTGAGCCTGTCGGTATGCTTGTTGCTGATGCTCCTAGGAAGCTATAATGAGCCTGTTCTTGTCACATTTCTTAAGAGAATTCTTCCCAAGATTTCTTTCAAGCTCCTCTAACTTCTTCAGTGCATTGGGAATCAAACTTTGCTCCTAGGTCAGCCTCTCCTTTGTAAGGCCGCTAAGGTGGCTCACCACCTAAAAGAAATCTCACAGGTGTGACTCGGCAATGGGTAGCCTGCTGCCTACCCAAGTCTTCCCTCCACCCCACCCCCATCCCCGCAGCCCACCCCCACTTCCTTTAGGAAGCTGGTCTGAGGCTTTACATCAACAAAGAATCCGAGGTTAACTCCCCTGAGCCCAGAGGATGATAGCCGTCAGACCAGACCAGCACCTGGTACGGGATGGTGTCCACATGGACAGCTGAGGTCCTCCTCCCAACACAGCTACTAATGTTGGGGCTAGTTTCTGGACCAGCGGGCAGCCATAGGTGAATGGTGGTTGGATTACAGGGGTCTGCCCTTCCCACTTTTGCCCTTTGTGAGATTAGTGTGAGAGCAAAGTGACCCAGCGCTGGCACTTCAATCAGATACTGTACTTTTAAGAAAACCTGCCTTCATGACTTTCAGGGCAGATTGTGAGCCATTCGCTCACGAAAAGTGCCACTTCATCAGTTGACAACATTGGACGAGGCTGAGTAACTTAATTTGTTGGGGCTTGGGGCCTGGGGCCTAACTTGTCCCCGCTCTCTGGCAATCTTTGGTCTACATAGCTATCACTAGGGCCCTCAGAGGCCAACCCAGACAGCCCTTCAGGGCAGAGGACCAGACATAGGCCCCTTCAGGACACCCCTGTGGCCCAGATTCCCTCCCTCCCTGAGATTCCCTTCCTGAGTCCCACGCCTTCTTGGAGCAGACGTTGCTGACCTGTTTGTCTGTGGGGCTCTTTTGCTATGACAGTATTGATGGCACTGAAGAGGATAAAGTGGCTTGAGCCTCTCTGACTTCTGCTCTATGAGGCAAGGCGAGCCTTTTCCCCTACATAGCACATGGTGGTCGCACTGTTCCCAGAAAACATTGCTCTGCTCATGGTTTCTACTCAGTTTGCAACCTGCTGATACTCTTTTTGAATAACCACTTAGCTATCTACCATCAACCTCGAGAGGCGGGAGAGGTATGCTATGTCTCTGCAATAAAACTTGTGCCAGGTTCTACCTCTGCTGAACAAAGGGTACTTTTATATACCTAGGCTTTGGGCTCTGGCCTTTGCTAACCCAGCATGGTGCGTCATGTGATGGCAACTCCAAATGGCCATGAACTCTGGGTTTGTCTTAGATGTTCTTGGGTTCAAGGCGCCCCCCCGCCCCCCACCCCCACCCCCTTGTCGCAGCCATTCTGTTCTGGAGGCTGTCGGTGCGGGAGGATGCCTGCACGCACTGTTCAGATGAAGCTGCCCTGCTTCTCCAGACTCATGTTGAGCGCCACTGGCCCCACCATGCTGGCGCGTGTCCTAAAAATCCATAGGCTTACTGCAGACATCATGTGCAGGGTTTATTCTTGTAGGTCAAAGCGATCAACCATGAGGCTTAACAGATTCTGTATTTTATTTTCGTCGCCATGTTTTGCTTTTTCTTTTGTAAGATTCTTAAATAAACTGGCTAACGTGCAGATCTTGTCATGTCTTTTTTATCTGGGTTGGAGCGTCCATTTGAGGGGAGGAAATTGGCCATTCTTAGAAAGAACCATAAAGCACGACTCATGTTGCAGAGACATGCTCTGTGGTGTGGGGCATGTCCTTCTGGCCAAGTCCACTGGATGTTGGAGACCTGGTAGTGGCCCTGCCATTTAGTTGCCTTGCTCCTGAGACCTGTTCACTGAGTTTCTTCCTATGAGACGCCACGAAACAGCTGTTGAGCCCTTGGGAAGAGCTGTCCACATCCTCAGCCATGGCTGTTGACAGTCCTGGGGTAGTGGATGTGGTTCGCAGCAACCTTCCCATCATCTCTCAGCCCAGGGAGTCACTTGTCTCTGAAAGGGCAGAACACCTGTACCATGTCCTGTGTCCCTGCTAACACGGAGAGCAGCTGCGTGCTGGGCACTGGCTCCTTAGCCTGCCTCCTTTCTGCAGTTCATGCACTGTCCCTGGCGCAGTCCAACCCCAGGACCTTTGCTTCCTAGTGTCCGTGGAAGTGTTGAGTGAGTAACTGGCTTCTAGCATTCGGTCACATACTGTCCACACATGTTATTAAGTTACAGAGATTGCAGATGAGATTTCCAATGGTTTCAAGAGTAAGAAAGGAAATAAAAGTGCCAAGGAAGGCCATGTGGGTGGCAAGTGCTACCGAATTGCCAGGAGCCCAAGATGTTGACGACAAGGATCCCACTCTGTGACCCAAACTCTGGTGCCCAGGTCACCAGGCAAGACAGCTTCAGGTGAGGTCGATGGCTGCAGGGAGAGAGTGAGTGAGCCTTGAGGCTGATCCAGGGTTCTGGTTGTTTCTTGACAGATACCGAGGGGCCAAGAAGTGTAGTCTGATGCTGTCACTAGACCTGAGGTGGGTTCCCAGAAAGTTGAGTAGGGGTGAGGGAAGACAGCAGAATTGTGAAGCAGAACTGGCAGCGTTAGTGTTGCTGCATGGTAGGCATTGGGTTGCTAACACCCGAGCCATTCCTTGGGAGACAGGTGAGTGAGGGATACGAGCCCCACAATCAAATGGTCCCAAGGAGCGGTCGTGTAATTGGGTAAAATTAAAGAGACATCAGACAGGATAAGGCATGCAAGGGCTCACCTCCTGGACTGCCATTGCAAGGGCTCACCTCCTGGACTGCCATTGCAAGGGCTCACCTCCTGGACTGCCATGACTTCAGCAGCCAGGTCCACACAGATTTCCAGCCAAGGCTTATATACATTCTAGGGGTGTGCAAGCCCCCCCTAATTACAGGTAACCACATACGTAACAATGTACCTTAACCCTAAAGGTCCCTGAGTACATTGGAGGAGCAACCTAACACCAGGTGCCAGGGCCAGGTAAGGGAAAGTGGCTGTCTCAGAGCCTAGAGAGCAATATCGCATGTCTTCTCCTATAGTTAGGGCTTCTGGCTACATAGCAATCAGCCATGCGCTTGTAAAAGGTAACTTTAAGGTAGTACTGTTAGTGAAGGAGAGTGGGGAACAATATTATGTGGATGTGAATATAGTGGGGAGCAATATTGATTATGAGGATGTGATTGGGACTCACCTCCCCCCACCCCAGAAACCCAGCCTGCCAGACCTAATATATGGGAATAAAAAATTTATCCGTATGCACTCTTCCCCTTCTCTGCTTACCACAGATGAGACGATCTTCTCCCGTAGATATTTACAGCCCGTAAGTCAGAATAAACTTGATGGCAGTGTGTCTGGTTGTGAATTTGCACTGCTCACCACAAGGTCAGCGGTTCGGAAAGAAAGATGAGACAGTTCTGCTCTGTCCTCTAAGGATGCTGTGGCTCAATTGACTGGCAGTGGATTTGCTTTAATTTGTTTTTATAAATCTGAATTAACTTGATGGCAGTGGGATTCAGTTAGTTGTTTTTTTTTTTGCTTTTATACAGAACAGTGCTGAACTTGAGGGTGTATATGTTTTATATAGTTCACTAATGTCCTCATAATGCCCCATGAGGTGGCAACGCTGTCACCTTGACTTTATATTGTGGGCCGCAGGTACACAGAGCTGGCCTGCAGTGGGGTCACATTCCTGTTGTTCATTGATGTCAACTTCTGACAGCCCCAAGGGTGCAGTGTAGGGCCGCCCCATGGGCTTTCAGAATTTAGAAGCAGGTTGCTTGGCCTTTCTCCTGAGGCATCTCTGGATGGGATTGGGATTAACTCGCCAACCCTTGAATGCTTAGCCCCTTGCACCACTCCGCGCTTCCTGCGGTTCACAAAGGCCTCAAGAAAAATGACTGGAGAGAGACAAGGTTGGAAACGTCATCTCCCCCCCACCCCCCCAAACACTTAGAATATTGCTCGTTAGGAAGAGCCATTCCATTTGTAGCTGGAAATGCGTAATGGGATTTAATCTAAACAGCATTAGCTTGCAGGGGCCTTTAATCTGTCACACACAATGGATAAGTGAGCATGACTTGAATTGAAAAGCGAATGTGTTGAGATTTTTTTTTTACCGGAAATGCCCCTAAAACGACGTGAAGTTGAACTTTGATGGCTGAAAAGAAACCAGGCTTGTAATCATATAACCTTGCTAAGTGGTGTTGGGACACCAATGGTGCAGCAGTTAAGCGTTTGGCTGCTAATCAGAAGGTTGGCTTTTTGTATCCAAGGGACATAGGCTTGGTGATCTGCTCCCATGCATGAGATTACAAAGTGAGTTGAGAATCAACTTGGCGTCGGCACCCACCAGTGAAGCAGTTGAGTGAGAAGGCGGTGCGTCAGAGAGAGGCCCCGCCACTCCCCCTGGGCTGCTCTGTTCCTGTGGGTCCAGCTATGCTCAGTTGGCATGGTTGGGTGAATGGCTGGCTGCTAGCCAAAGGTCAGACGTTCAAACCTACCAGCTGCCCCGCTGGTAAGAGAAAGAGGTGGTCTACTCCCCTAAAGATTGACAATCTTAGAAGCCCACCCTGTGTGGGGTCTATATGAATTGGAATTGGCCTACGGGGAATGGATTTAGTTTGGGGGGCATGTGTGGGAATCCATTTGATGGCAGGGAGTTGTTTTCATTCCCCCTCCGGGTTCTCTGTGCCCCAGGCCCATTCTCATTACTGCTTTCTCAGGTCCTTGACATTAGTGACCATGAGCTATGCAACTCCTTGCTGTGGCACTCCTGCAACCATGGCCTCCACTAGATGCCACTAGTACCCCTTTTGCTGCTTATGATAACCTAAAATGTCTCCAGTCATTGACATGGGGGGTGGTCGTCACTAAATCCCCCCTGATGAGGACCACTGCCCTAGGCAAGTGCTGGTATGAGCAGGGGGTGGGCGGGTGTTTTAGGGAGGACAAGTCCTATGAGTAAAGGGCCACCCCCACCCCCGAGGGACATTCAAGATACAAATGTTCACCTGCTGGGGCTTTGGAATAAGTATAATACAGTCTCCATACATGTGAATATTTACCAGCTAGTCATTTGGAAGCATGATGTAAAGAAGCCATCTGTGGAGGCCTTTATGGAGAGGAGAGGAGGCTCGGAATGTGCAAAGCGCTTATTTTTAGAGTCCAGTTCCCAGGGAGTTGGCCCCGCCCTCCGAAAGCCATGTGTGCTGAGGGTGAGTGTGGCTGGGCACGGAGAGGTAAGTGCCACCCTCTTGCTGTCTACTCATTGTTGGACAATTAAGAATCACCACTGGGTCAGAAGGCTGTCTCCCACTCGGCTGCTTCCCCAGCGCCATCCTTCGCCCAGGCTGGCATTGTCTTGGCCGGTCTCTTCAAGTCCGTCTCTAGCTTGGGGAGATCTGCATGGAGGCTCTGACCTGTGTTGCTCTTTGCGTGCAGACACGCTACCTTCTCAAAGGTTGACGTGTGAGTCCTTCCAAGGCAGAGTGATCCAAACCAGAATCACTTCTTAATTTCAGGAAAGTCAGAACTTCCAGCAGTGGCAACTTAAAGAGCGAAGCGTTTGGGGAAGATGCCCATGAGGAATAGGCTTGTCCACAACCCCACCTTCCATCTTCAGGCCTACACAAAGGTAAGTGACACACGAGTCCTTGATGTGGGGATTCTGCCTCGCGTGGTGTCTGCACGTCTCATCTGCGGGTTTGGATGGGGAAAAACAGACGCATGTCCTCAAGTGTTGGCCTACCCATGGGGTAAGAAATAGAGATACTTTGAGATGCTCTCATAAAAACTTGCAAACCCTGATCTGTAAGTCAGATCCAGCCACTGGATCGTTCCGTGTTCGAGTTGTGCAACATTCTCACCTTCCGTTTCTGAATTATCCCTCCACATTTACAAAAGCTCCCAGTCCCCAAAGGTTCCTATGTAACCTTTCGAGTTGTAGTTGTCATTTTGATTCCATGTCAAACAAAAAACAATGTCATCGAGTTAATTGAGTCACTCAGTGACCCTGTAGGACCTGGGTAGAGTTGCCCCTCTGGGTTTCCGAGTCTAAATCTGTAGGAGAGCAGAAAGCCTTATCTTTTTCCTAAAAAGTGGCTGGTAGGTTCGAACTGGGGACCTTGTGGTTAGCAACACATCATGCACTCCACCCCAGTGCTCCTTAATCCCATTGAGAAAGTTCTTAACACAGTGCTGACTACTCACCAATTAACTCCAGTTTACTTTAGTTCCCGTAGCTTTTAAATCTGAAAATAATAGAGGTCTATAGGACTGGGCAGGATAATTTTGGCTTGAAATAAATAGCCTGTCGGTGAAATGGTTAAAAAGCCCAGTGCAGATCTAGTCTAGTTTAGCTAAAGGAGTTATTATCAGAAGGCTTCTTTTTTTTTTTTTTTCTCACTTCCCAAGTGCTTAGGAGAAAAGATGACACGAAGTTTTGAAAATCAAGTCGGTGTCCATAAAGTTTTGTTGGCACACAGCAATGCGTGTTCATTCGTGTGCTCTCTCTCGCTGCTTTCACGCTACTGTGGCCGAGTTAAATAGCTGTAACAGAGACTGTAAGTGACCCCAGACCTAAAGGGTTTATTATGGGACCCCTTTGCAGGAAAAACGAGCC